GCTTGGCAGCTCTTCATGTGGATGAACGATCAAGGGATCACCCTCAAAGCCGTCAATATAGCAGGAACCAGCAGCAGCATAGCAGACACACTCTCTCAAGGCATCGTCCGACCAACATGGTGGATTCTTCATCTGAACGTGGTCGGCCAGATCTTTGTGGAGATCGAGCGTCCCCCTATTAACCTCTTCGCTTCCATTGACAAAACCCATTTGCTGAAGCTCTGCTCCAGGTTCCCTCACCCAAAGGCATGGGTGACAGGCGCCCTACAGTTCGACTGGTCGGGCCGTCTTGCATATGCTTTTCCTTCAATATCCCGTGCGTCCTGTCCAAGATAGAATGAGAGCCATTTCGGGCACTCCTCATCCCTCTATTGGCCTCACCAACTGTGGTTTCTAAGACTGACAAGACTCCTGGTACAACAGCCGCTGGTCCTTCCAGTCAGGGAAGACATCCTTCGTCAACCCAAGTCAGGGATCTTCCACCCAGCACCAGAGAGTCTTCACTTGACGTGCTGGACATCGTCCAACGATCCTTCAGGGCATCGGGCCTTTCTGCATTCGCTTTCTCCAAGGCTGCCCGAGGTCAACGACTGTTCATTCGCAAAATTTACAACAGCCGTCGACAACATTTTACCTAGATGGTGCGACGACCATGGTCGGCCTTGGCGGCTTCAGCGATGGATCGACTGTCTGACGGTGCTGCCATCCACCGTCTCCTTCGAGGAATGTTTGTCAAGTGTCCTCACGTCAAACACCTCGTGTTATCCTGGGACCTCTGAAGCGTCCTATGCGTTCTTGCTGGTCCCCAATTCGAACTGCTGTCCAATGTATCTGACCTCCATCTCAGCATCAAACTGGCATTCCTCCTTACGATCGTTACATCAAGACAAGGTAGCGAGCTTCATGTCTTATCGATTGCTGATTGATGGGGTTTGCCTTATCCCAACCATCGGGTTTCTGACAAAAAAACAGATGCTTCCCTTCCGGCCTGCCAACATATTCATTCCCGACAAGAGAAGGTGTCCAGTCTGGACTCTCAAGTAGTATCTTGCCAGGACTGAGCATCGCCGAGAATCTAATTCCAACTCTTCATCACCACGACAAAACCCTGTCATCTGGCATCGAAGGACACTATTGCCCGATGGACAGTTTTTGCCATTATCTTCGCTAACCGAGACTGGCCAGCACAACATGATAAGACGACCCAATCTCACGTCAGGGCTGACGGCGTGCGGGCCGCCTTTGCATCTTGGTCGTATTTCAGAGGAGTTCCTCTAACTGAAATCCGCCAGGCGGCTTGCTAGAAATCTTCCACCACCTTCAATGAGTGTTGCCTGAAAGATGTTCTGCAGAGCTAAACTGCCCATAGCATAGTGACCTTGTGCTCGGCAGTCCAGACAATATGCACCACTATTCCGAGCGGGATGGTGGATACTTCAATCTAGGGGTTTCTTCTGGTGAATGTTCAGTCTGGCAACGCCCACCTTATGTTTCTATTGGTAACTGCACTCCCATCGCCGACCCACCTCCAGGGTACAGTGGCACTCTGCATATGTAGGCTGGGCAGGGGTATGTGAATGCAGGTGACTCCTCCCCCACATTAGTGTGGGTCGGTTTTCCTAGTGATACTTACCCTTGCCCAGCAGCTCCCACCCAACCTTCCCCACTTTGGCTCTGGTGGTTTTCACCGCTTCGAAAATAAGGACGAATATGGCGGCGAGATCCAAGTGCATTGTGGACGGTCAAGTGGCAGAAGGCATAATCAAGTCTTTTCAGCGTATTGTACTAGGCACATGGGAAATTTGCATATGTTGGCTGGGCAGGGGTAAGCGTCACTAGGAGACCCGACCCACACTGATGTGGGAGAGGAATTTCTGTTAGTTACATGCCGGAGTATAGACTGGAATGAGCTTACAAAATCATCAAAGTTACTATCTGGCATTTTATATGTGACCCCAGCAATGATATTCTTATGATTATTAGGAGTTATGATTTCAACAAAAATAGATTATATATTAAAATAGAATTATCACCTATTTCATCAAGATCAGTCTTAACGTCTATTGAAGATAATTCAAAATATACAAGGCAACACCGCAACCAACTCTACCCTGTCTGTTTTTAGTTAACAGGATATACCCAGGTATATTCAATTGATTCATACAAGAGCTTTTGTTTAGCCAAGTTTCACTAAGGCCAATGACAGAAACATTGTGATTTAGGGAATGGAGCAGAGTCTTCAGATGATCATGTGTTTTTGGCTATACTCTTTACATTTAAATGCAAAATTTAACAATCATCAGTTTGGTCAGCAACATAATGATCCCTAAATTTATCATATGTATAATAAAGTGAGTTGCTTATACAACTTTGAGAATTGTCAGGATCCTCAATAAATGGCAATTCATTAGAATCTAAATTCAGGTTTGGTAAGACCTCAGGAGAAGTAGGCATATTCACACTTGAATTTAGGTCCAGGATTGCATTTTCAAATTCTTTTGTATCAAGACCTTTACATGGGAAAGTATCTGTAAGACGTTGCTGACAAAACCAAGAATTTTTATCATTTGTTAGGTTGTTAAAGTCAAGACTGAGATTAGTACGTTTAAGGTAGATCCATAGTTTCCAGTGATCATTTGATTTCCATTTTGATTCATCTCACAGTGTTACTACAGACACTGCACAGGAATTTAACAGGCATAAAGAAAAACAACTAACACACAAGATTACAAAAAAATAGGAAAAACAAATTAAACAACTGACAAAGTACAATGATGTTACACAAAGACAAATACTGTATATACATGTATGTAAACAACAGGAAGGAAGGGAATGGGCGACAACATTTGTAGTCATATAGATCACAGACTAAATCAATATACTGGCTGCAATTGGATTATTTTCATGTAAATATGATGAAGTTAACACTACAGATTCATACTGCTCCATACGACTGATCAAGTACATAACCACACCAATTTATGTAAAATGGATTGAAGTAAAATATTTATAATTTATGCGTACCCATAGACCTGCTCATTCCGTCTTATCTAGGAGGGCCTAGGAGGGATGTACCTCTGTCCATTGATGAACAGCTGTCCATTACGAAAAATGAGTCTCCTGCCAGCCTTGTATGCATTATGCATAACCTCTTTGGGGGCTTTTTTCTTTGTGACATCTGCTGCCGGCAAATCTTGAATCATGAAGATTCCACAACTAGCCAGGGTTGTCTTGGCTCATTGTAGTACTACCTGTCTCTCTGGTCGATATTTAAACTTCGCCAGAATATGTCAAGGTTTACCGTTTGATATTCTGGGGGCTGGTCCAGCACGGTGGGCATTCTCGATCTCAGGTTCAAGGTTGCATTTCTCAGACAGAATCTCTTTGATTCTGTTGTATGGGTGGTCTGGTGGCTCATTTGGCACTTCAGGGATCCCTCCAAATCTAATATTGTAACTTCTAGAGTAACGTTCAAGATTAAGAGTGGAGGCTTCAAGCTTGGCCACCTTTCTTTCAGCGTCATTTAACTGAGCTGACAATTCTTCCATTTTTTATTGTAGATGCTTTTTAGTGTCCTTGACTTCTTCAGTGGTCTCCGATGTATGGACAACTGACTTTTCCATTTCCATCTGTCTGGATTCCAGGTTGTCAATTCTGCGTAGAAAGGATTCCTGGTTACTGATTACGAGATCTAGCTTTTTTTGAATTCCTGCTTGAAACTCACGAAACTCATTTCACACTGTTGATATTAAAGAGGTTTCAGCAGCAGGACCATGTACGGATGTTGCGTACACAGCTAACTCACGTGCGCTGTTGGTTGTATCTGGCGTGTCGTTACTTGAGTTGCCTGAAACTGGCTTTTTTTCCCCCCTTTTTTGGTCGCATTCTGGAATCCAGTTCAAACAGACAGGCAATATTTCAGGTTTATGTTCATTAGCCTTTTAGATGGCCATGATTTCACGAAGATTGGAAGTGATTATATGGGTAGACTTTAGTAGTCTTACGGAGTCCTACTCCATCAACAGCGCCCTCACACCAAGTCTGCTATGGCATTCCTGAAATTGTAATATTTATGTCAGAGTTACCATTTATATTATCTGTCTTTTTTATACTTTTGTGTTTTTCCAGCCCTATGATTCTTTTCTATAGTGATACCACTACTCCAGCTTTTTTAACCCCTTTTCGGCCCTCACACTATTTAACTTTGAATTCTATTTTCTTTAATCTTTACCATCTCTGATCTCCCCCCATGTTAATCCCTTGCAGTTTGTCCCCCTTGCCTGAGTTCTTTGTTGATGTGTACATGTTGTGTTCATCCTTTTTCCCTTTCCCTCCCTCCTTCTCTATGGTCCCCCCTTCCTTTTGTGTTTCTCTACGGAGCCCTGTTTGTCTGTCCATGTATATCCCACTCTTCTTCAGCCCCGAACTGCTGTCTTAAGAATTTGACATGTTTTGGAATGTCAATGTTTTAATTTTATTAATTTCATGGTTATTTGTATAACTTATTTGTACATTATTTAATTCAGAGATTTTATCTATTTCTCATGCATGCTTGTAAATGGCAGGTAACCACTGCTGGTCATCAGAAATAAATAAAAAAAGAACATTTATGTTTGATTTGATGTCAAAATGTGTGTAATTAACCTTATGTATTTGCTGTAAGACCAAAAATCAGTAGCAGTGATAATGAAAACAATCCTGAGGAGGGAAAAGGACGGGTTAGAGAAGATGATTGATTCCACTCACCCTCATCAGGATTTGATGAGATTAATGTTACATGTACATTTGAAAAATAAAACACACTTATGCCTTAATTTTTGAACAAAGTAGCCAGCACCGGACATATAAGCAGACAGATTGGTATTGATTTGTGATCAAAGGTCAAAGGCACAGTCATTTAGATAAGAGATGTTCTGTCTGGGGTCTTTATAAGATAATTTGTACAAAACTAATTAATTTTCCGTTTGCACGATTAATTTTGAATTTGTTTTTCTTTACAGAGTGCAGCAGCCTACATCCTTTTCTATTCTTCAATGGACCAGTTTATTCCCTAGAGCTAAAGCTCACCTGACAGCTTGTGCCATGTTGCTTGTAATACTCGTCCATCTGTCATGAGGGAGTATTCAGAATAAGGTTATGTACATTTTTTGACATGAAACATAGTATAAAAACAACAAAAACCTATAAAATGCAGAGCTAAAACACTAAATAATTATTTATTCAACTATCTACAAAGTTTGTGCCAACATCTGTAGTGCACATTTTAAATGTCATGTATTTTTAATGTGAAATGGCATTAGCTCATGTAGTAATAATTGTGTACAGTAACAGATCGATTTCTTCCAGATTCTGCACACTTGATGTGATCTGCATTTCCTAATAGTTTGTCATGCTTTGTATTACCATTTACATATGGTTTCAACCTAAGCAAACCCTGGCTAAAAGAAATCAGTTGAAAGTTCTAATTAAACAGTGCTGCAAATGTACAAACTGTTCAAGCAGCTTCAAATCATAAACAAAATCATCATCATGTGTTGGAAATGGTTTGGGAACAGGATCTTTGTCTTCATATTGTGAAGCAAAATAGTGTGTGTTGCTGTAGATGGTGTGGCCTTTCACCTGCTAAACAGCCAGCAAAATAGTGTGTGTTGCTGTAGATGGTGTGGCCTTTCACCTGCTAAACAGCCAGCCTCAATAAGCCACTTAGCAAGTTAAATTGAATAAAATCTGGTACACTCTGTTATCTGATTGCATAGAAACGTAACAATTTGAATTCCCCAGACTAAAGACACTGTTGCTATACCTCGTGATTCGGGGCAAGCTTTTGCATAGTGACCACTATCTCTGGAATGGACTGGTTCCTTTGTGCCTTTCTTATCCGTTGAGAACAGTGTATTGTTACGTAACTGAGCAAAAGCTTGCCCCGAATCACGAGGTATAGCAACAGTGGTTTTAGTATGGAGAATTCAAGTTATGTTCACGTGAATTTAAAGAACTCAGTGTACCAGATTTTATTCAAATTTAACTTGCAAATGGCTTATTCATCTGTCTCACTATGACTGTCATGCTACACTGAAAACTATAACTTGATTTATAATATTGTATTATCAACCTGCTTGGTGATAAACAAATGTTAAACTATTGCACATAGGAAGTTGATGCCACGTGAATGAAAGACAATAATCTTCATGATCATGATCACGTTTTAAAGTTTCCATAAACTTTGTCACTTTTTCCAGTGGATTATTGCTTTTATCTTATCTCTGTAGAATGAGACATTAATTCCCAGTCTTTTCAATGTTATTCATACTTTAACTGCCCTTTGAAACTACATCAGAACTCGGTTTTTACTTTCTTGATTCTCCAACCTGACCCACCCTGTTAAATCCTCACAAAACTGTTTTTCTCTTCAATTTGAATTTTATGCAAATTAACTTAACTTAACTTAACTGTATTTAAACAGGTTTGAAATTTTCCAGGATTTTTCCATTCAGGATTTTCAAGCAATCTCTTTCAATATCTGGAAAATCCTAAGGTGTTTTTACTTGTAAAAGTTAATTTAAAACACAAGAAGTGTGTTTTAAGGAGTGCATTAAGGCAAATACATGTAAATCAGATACTATGATGCTGTGTAACCGTCAAACCCTCTGGTGATTATTTTGTGAATATTTCATTTCCTCCAATCTCATCACTGCTTACAAGAAAAGTTTAAAGCTTTTGATTGGTACGCATGCAAGTTTTATTATGAACATTGTCATATAGGGTCAGAAAGTAGATTCCTGCCTTTTTAATTCACTGGGATTGAAACCCTATGGACCAATAAGTGTAACCCCACCCACATTAATTTCTGGCTTCACATGCTCACTGAATGTCACCCTCATCTTGCAAAGAAATCTCTGCTAGACCTTTAAACATGTACTTGGGCTGGTGGTAGTTTCTGCTGCATTTTTTTCAGTTCTTTTACATGTAGATGATTGCTTTATAAATTGTGAGTGTTTAATAATAAATAGCATGTAACATTAAGCATATATATCAATTACCAGTGATAATGAATGTAATCATAGAAATGGTCCAGTGAGGATGGAAATGAGCAAGATTCTAGCCAATGGTCAAGCCTTAGTATCTCGCTGCTCATGCAATAAGGGACCAGACATGGAGTTTCAGTTTGTAAACAACTCTCACAAAGCCATGCACAGAGCTCACAATGAGCTCTCATATGAGAGAGCTAGTTTTTTTATATGTCTTTACAGTCTATATATGGAAGGTCTTTACCAGTTGACTGTGGTGAGAAATAAATGGAAGTGTAATTACTGGCAAGATCTCCCAACTGAAAATGTACCTGCTACATGTATATAGTGTCTCTATACATACATGTACATGTACATAAAAAAACGTAGTGTGTCTCTGTCTTAACTGTAGCATTTAACTCATCTTTCGTCACAAATTGGAATTCTGATTTATTCAAAATGATTTAACCTCTTAATGCTGGATGACATGTACAGGTAAACACATACAATTTTCCTTATTTATTCCAGGACATTTACACTCATTTCAGAACTCTTTTTTCATGTCTAAAGTTGACATATTAATGTGTTGTGTGTGGTTGGGTCAAAGTGTGGAAGACGATCCTACACGCGGACACTGCTACTAAGTGGACTTACCCCCAACGAACTGTAGAACAGAAATGCCTTTCTTGCATAGTTAGAATTGAATTGGGGAGCCCACACCATATACAAAAAAGCTAAGGGCTTCATGCCCTCCTTTGTTCGGGTAAACCAATTTGCTATGGAGTGAAATCACACAAAAGAAATAAGGTTAAAAAATCCCAACTAGCTACTTCTTTGTATGAACCAATTGGCAAGAAAACACGCATGACCATGAGTGACACCTGTACATGCCATGGACCTTTGTATGTGAACCGGTTGACATGTGAACATGTGCTACAATTTTTACCAGAGCAGATAAGGGGGGGATGGAAATATTGATGCCTAACCTCAAGAGCCGTCCCCCCGTACATATATTATGGCCGTCATAAATAGATTGCTGGGTTGAAGAATTTGCAGAGAAAACAACCCGCTTCCAGCAGCTTTTTCCAGTAAGAAAATCCAGTGTTCACTGCTTAACCCTCAAAGAGCCGGGGAGGGGGCAAAATCTGCCCCCTGTTGATTTTTTTTAAAAGCATCTCTAAGATTATTTTCTGCGTGCCAATACTTTATGACAATTTTTTCCAAAGTTTTAGCTTGATTTTGACCCCAAACTTATGAAAATCGGAGTTGGCATTCTCTCTCAGCAACGAATTTTAGAAGGCAGGTTGAAGCGAGATGTGAAATTTACTGTGACTTTGTATACAGTACATAGGACAGAGTGGTATCCTACCATGAATAATTAATTAGTCTTAATTATGCAAAGACTTAATTAATCCACATGAAATTTTACGCAGATGATAAGTATGGATGTCTCTATGACACTGGCAAATTTCATTGAAGTACATCATCGTATGGCTGAGATCTGGGGGTGGGGCCAATTCCCCCAGCTGTGACAAGACCAAAAAGCCTGACTCTTTGAGGGTTAAGCTTAAAATGGGCCAACTTGACGGATTGTGTATGGATATCCATTGGTGTTATATCCTTTGTGTATTAGAGATACAATTTATGTCACTCTTCTACACCACCATTGACGTGATGAAATTATATGTTCAAAAATCACATTTTACATGCGTTGGTGTGTATTTTGTGCGAATGATAAATCTGTTCATTTTCATAAGTAACAACATTAAGTAAAGATGGAAATTGCTTTAAAAGATTCAATCATTATTTACACAAAACCTGATTGCTACAGTGTCTTTAACACTTAATGTATTATTCAAAAGAGATATGTTTTCATTTGTCATGATTGTGAGGATGCAGATCCAAAACTACAGTAGGAAGTTCCAGTATTGTTGACTGAGTTGTGATCAGTGTTGTACCTGCTTTAATTTAGGCTTGTGTGAATTTTTTTCAAGCTTTTGACAGATTAAGAGTGGTGTAGGTAATGCAGTAAGCTACTGACCACTTTAAACATCACCTGAGGCTAAGTAGCTCCAATCAATAATTGACCCAGTCACCATTGGCTCCTCTGACTGACAAACAGACAGCTTCAATATAATACTGGGTTGATTAGCCAGAGGGAAACATATAATTAAATTTATGCCCTAATTCAAGATTTCCAAAGATCTTACTTCACACTATCAGCCTAACCATAAAACAAAGAAAGTAAATATGTATGAAGTTGCAATATCAGAATTTTGTCTTGTATGCAAGTTGTGTCTGATACATAAATGACGCACATGTACTCAAAGATGTGGGTTATCTTGTATATCCATTAACTTAATATAATTGACATTACTTCAAATGCTGTATGTAAGATTTTGATGATCTTTGTTAGTGATATGAAAGTCTGGTTAATGGCTCTTAATTGAAAAAATAACATTTTACTTTTTATGCAAGTAAATTGTTAAAACCCAGAGTAATGACGCACTGAATTTTTTTTTTTGAAAACACATGGTGATTAAAGTGATTAAAGAAATAGCATATTATGCACATTGTGTTTTCTGTTAAGATCATGTGTGTGATCCCTTTATGATACAAGTCAGTCTTTTCAATTATGAGATAGTTATCGTTTGGATGATTCACATGGTGAGTACACTATAACTTATTTTGTACCGTTCCTTAACCCTAACTCCCTAGGGTGTATGCAAAATCATATTAAAACTGAACGATTCAGGGCTGTTAGGGTTAAGGACTAGCTGAAGACCTCAACAAATCTATGGGTAATACATTCTAGTCATCTGTAGTTCATGACCTCAGACGTACATGTAGATGGAACACTTTCATTTCAAACCTAAATTCTGCTACCAAGAAGAGATGAAAAGCCTTTGATTTCATAAGGAAAATGTGTTTTATAAATTTTGCCTGATTGAAATTATTGTTTGATAATTTGAAGTATTTTGTTCAGTAATTTAGCCTCTAAACCGAACATTGAAATTGAAAGCCAGTCTTTATCATGTCACCACCTTTTAGCTAAGTAGGGCTTTGAAGAAAATGTTAAAATTTTTGTATCCAAGGACAGGTGTAAGCTGAATTTGCAAACTTCAAAAGGCAATGTAACCAGACTTGGAGGCAAATCATTTGAGAATACTATTTTATTATGCTTATGACCACAAACCCAATTTTTCTTATATTTGTGATTTTTGCAGCAGTGCACTGTTTTATTAGTTACGCAAACAATACTTGAGAAGTAAAACCCTTAAAAAAAACTTGTATCTTACATTTTCCCTTAATGGTACATTATGCATGCAAAGTGACCAGTATGCAAATTGTCTCGATTGGCTGGCTTTGTTGTCTTAGCTGTATGCGCGCGCGTGCCACAATTGCCAAGCAAAAGCAAGCTTGCTCATTGACAAGGCCCTTGGCAGCACTGAATGCACTGCGCACACGCGGTGGGATGTTGCTCATTGAACCGTGTGTTTGACATCACAACAAGCTTCGTAGGCCAGACCGTTGCCTGCCTCCGCTGTCACTGCTGCTCCTTCGTTGCCACTCACATCTCATAACATTAACCCATTACCTACACAGTCAAACCTGGCCTTCATTTCGCTGGCTAACGATACAATGACGATCATGGCAGCGACTCAAGTAAGCAGCGGTCAGGAAACGGTTCCTCATCAAATGCCTGCCCAGCAACAACCTCCGTTGAAATCTTGCATGACCAGTCCACCTCAGACCATTCCCATGAAAGATCATGATGCCATCAAACTGTTCGTCGGTCAGATTCCAAGGAATCTGGAAGAGAAAGAAATTCGACCCATCTTTGAAGAACACGGCCGCATCTACGAGCTGACGATTTTGAAAGACCGCTATACCGGCATGCACAAAGGTGGGTACGCTCAGCTGTTTCAGGCTGAGGCATACGAGGACGGTCGTAATGTCAGTTTTCACGTCAGGCCGGACTAACGTTAAGGCCTACATGTAAATACTCGTTAAAAATCAAATGACAAGGTTAAGTGAGCATAAGCTATATCATAGACTTTATAAGTCGACAGTTCATTTACCTTATAACTTAACGTAGGGATATTTAGTCCCATATCTAGCCTATATGCATTTTGTATAAATTAATGAGAGTTTGTAGATGACAATCTGAGCTAGTCTAACAGAATTCTACCGGTATTTTACAACGTAGGTTGTGCCTTCTTGACATACTGTGACCGTGAGAGTGCTATTCGTGCACAAACGGCTCTGCACGGGCAGAAAACGCTACCAGGGGTACGTATATTGACTTGCCACATGGCAAAAACCCATCTGCACTGCTGAAAGGCTAAATGTAAACCTTTGCGGAGTTTCATTCATAAATCGAAGTTCTTTGTCCTTGTTCTGTCAGAGCAAACCAGTCGCGTGCCGTTGACCGGCTGTGGCATTGTTCGCGGTGTTTTTTTGTTTGTTTTTTGTTCGTTTCTTTGGGAAATTTGTTTGGGCTGTACGTGGCATAACCCATAGTTGTGTCGGTAGGTTACCACTTTGTGGTCAGAGGGGGCACATTTCAAGAATGGCTGCCTTAAATTCAGGTATTGTATGCAAGTTTTGTCCCCAACTAGAAGTTGATTGCAGAGTCTACTGTCAACATCTTTATTTTCTGCTGAGGCTTTGCAGGCCAATGTTGGAATTTTTCAGTAATTCCTTCATAACCTAAATAAGTTAATTCTTCTTAGTGCATTAATTATACGTACATAGTACATTAAAGAATATTTACTTGTTCAATTTGAAGTAAGATTATCTGCAATGAAGTGTTGATTGATATTTCTGACTAAATTTTCAAGCAGCATTTGAAAACAACATGAAACATATTGTACATGGAAGGTGCCAAAAACTTGCTATGTATTTAATTACTGTAAAGTAGGTAAACTGACTGATTTGGTTTTGCCCTGATTGTGTCCATCTGGAAGGATTCGCAGTGCAGTTTAATTATTCTACATACTCATCTGAATAGCAATTTTATGGGTATGGAAGCTTCTGTAAGTTTGGTACATTTAGGTTATTCTAAAGACATTCTGAACACTTTAGTTACCTTTTGTAATGATTGTTTGTCTTATTTCATGACAATGTGGTCTCATTTTTTTCATTTCACTTGGTATGGAAACTGGGAAGTAATCCTTGCTCTGCTACACCCTCTGAAGTATATTATTTTCGTGTTACTCAGTTCTGTCAAAGAGGAAGGTTATGTGCACATTTTCCAGCTTACTATTAGAAAATTCACTTGTTTTTATCAAAGACAAAGTAGAAAGTCTTGACAACAGATGGTTAACTGGTGGGTTATTGTTGAAAATCAGCTGCCCACAGTTTGATGGGGTGTCTTTGTGGTTGGCAGCTGATCTGTGTGTACCGTATTGTACAGTGTACATACCACACGTAATGAGCATATTACTGCCCAACTGTATTGTGGACTTGCATTTACACAGTATATGTATGATTATGGATCATATTTCAAGAGTTCCCACCAAAATTCTTTTCATCAAGTTGTCTATGAAATTTTTTATTTATTTATTTTTTTTTTTTCCCCATAACCAACAGCGAATTCCAATTATGTCTTTGTGGTTGGCAGCTGATCTCTGTGCACCATATTGTACATACCACACGTAATGAGCATATTACTGCCAAACTGTTTTGTGGACTTACATGTACACAGTACATGTATGATTATGCATCATATTTCAGGAGTTCCCACCAAAATTCTTTCATCAAATTATGTATGATTTTTTTTATTTGTTTATTTATTTTGTTCCCATAACCAACAGCAAAGAAATCGCCTTTACAGGTTAGGTATTAAAAAGGAATATAAATACAAAAGGCAATAATTACTCTAATTGCAATAAAAACTAAAAATGTTCAATATTTACAAGTTTTATAAAAAAGTTGAAAATTAAAAGTTTAAAAAATTAAAAAGTACAAATTGAAAACTATATGCTGAGGAAAAAAATTGAGTCCGTAATGAAAATCAAGCCGAAATTACATTCATGTATATCTCATCCTGAACCCACAACTTGTCAATTCAGTGTATTTACATGTACATGTATTATTCAGAGTATTTATGCATAGGCTGAGAAAACAACAGTCCATCTCATATTTTTGTAATGAACAATTTAAATTCTGTTAGAATTCCAAATGTTAAGTCCCTATTTGTGCACAACAATGGGATCTGTTTATTTAAAGTGGATTTAACTGTTATTGCTTTTATGTGTAACGCTTCTTAATACAGTACACACAACTTCCTATTTACTCGCTCATATTAATCCTTACATCATAGATGTGCACATTTATACAATGTTTAATACCAACTGTATAGTATATTCAGGCATACAACATTTCCTCAGATCAGCTAATTATTTTCCTCGCTTTTCACTTCTCACTCCTGCCATTGAAAAGTGAAAAACACTGTACCGGTATAAAGTCTTGTAAATACTGGAATTTCCTTGTTTTTTGTCAAAGTCCAAGTTGCATCTTGTATATTTTGTTCCTGCTTAAAATGATACTACATTGTCCTTTTTGCCTCTTTTGACTTTGAGAACAAAATTTGCCTGGAACCACTCTGGGACTACTGGTATTTTTAAACCGAAAGGATTTCAGTCTTAAAAGAACATCGGCAGCAAAAATGTGCCATAAGCATTAGATTTGAATTTTTTCCTCTAAAAAATGTTCTTTGGTGGCTTTTGTCTTGTAAACTTACCATAATATATATATATATATATATATATATATTCAGTTTACATCGACACAGGTCACATACTGGTACATGTATTTCATTTGCTATGGAGAGCAAAAGTCTTACATTGATTGGTAATGAGTCCATTCAGTAAGAACTCATTAAGACCAACCAATCAATGTTGCATCTGCTGGGTTGTCTCATTTGTATCCTTCTTTTGTCAGTATGCGCCTTGCATATTGATTGTGCATGTACATGTACGTGTAGATGAAGCAGATGGTGTACAGTCTTACATGTGTACGTGAAATTTATTTGCATTTGTGCCAGTTACTCATTGTTCTTGGCTTGATGAAATCATGATCAGCTATTAAACCTGTACTGTGAAATGACAAACCATTACAATTCCATGTTATGGATGCCTCTTGCAACTTTATGTGCAGGTAACCTAGTACATAACATAATGCCACTTGTATGTATACTAAATCTTGCATTCAAATTAAGTTTAGTGTCATGGAGAAGAAAAAGTGACCAATAACAGTAATTATTTTGAATTATTCAGGCAAAACACCATGCAGGTTGTCTGAAGTTATGTTAAAAGTGGTTTTCTAGTCCAGGATTTTTAATGTGAGGGACAAGGTGCAACTATTCGTTTTGAGTGTGTTGGGGGGGTTGGAATTGAAGGAGGATTTTACCAAGATAGCTAGACCCTTTGTCTTGCAGTTTGGATTATCGAGAGGAGAGATGCACTGTATGTATCACCCTAAAAGAGTTGGAATGTTCTAACGTACATATGATGTACGGTACTGTATAGTGTGCACTTTACCGTAGCTACATTATACAGATGTATGTTAGTCTACACAAAGAGTCGGAATACATTTTAAGGGAGACATTAGTTGGAAGGAGAATCTATTCTGTCTATTACTCAGCCTTAAATTTAGGCTTTAAACACAGTATTTTATCACCTTACAGTACTTTACATACTGTATAATGTACATTTTCCAGTGGCAGTCAGATTATTTGTTGTGAAATCATTCTTGTTAGATTTCACATGCTTGAAGCATACACGTACAAGCTGTTTTTAAAGCTGCTAAATGATACCCATTTATACAGACCCAGCACGTAACAATGTTGACATGGGCACAGTGGCATAAGATGTTGCCCTTTGTTCCTCCTGGCTTTCTTCTGAACACAGCCACTTCAGGAATATAGGCCACAGGCTTTTGGCTAATTAACTGAATTCTTGGCCAACTTATGTCCACCTTACACATTGTTGAGCACTCTGTGAATAACTGATTATGAATACATGTACATCAGAGGTAGTGCATTATGCATACTACGTACTAGTACATAAACAGTACGGTGTACTGTAGTTTACCGGTACATGTTATGACAATGTGCAGTACGCATGTACATGTAAAGGGATACAGTGGGTGGGCCTTTCTTGTTTTAAGGGGACACAATTTATTTTGTTAGGAATGTTAGGACCGTGTTATGGTGTTGAATATTTGTCCCATGTAACATTTTTGCTTCCCATAATGCCTTTATATTCAGTATACATGTGTGCAATCCCCACAACTGGAAGAAAGACTTTTACATGTAGGGTACAGGGTACTAATACGTGTGTACAAATACCTCACCCTAAGCCCCCCCCCCAAAAAAAAAGTCTCCAGATGGTTTCTGGTCAGGAGCTGGCTTCAAAAGTGGTGTGGAGATGCAGCCTTTTTTTTTTCCCCTCACTTTTTTCTCTGGAAATGATGTACTGTTTAAAAGTATTCTCAGCTTGTACATGTACCGGTACACAGGACGTAAGACCACCTCATTTGTCTGGTTCCCAGATGTAAATGTATAATACAGAAATGACATCATCTGGAAAAGAGTGCCAGACTAAATGTTTGGGGAACTACAGGGACTTTTTACTGTACGTATTACTCAACCATAACCCATCAAAAACCATTAAAGTTACGCAGTAGCAGGATTCCAGTCAATTAAGCAAGTTTGGCAGGTTTTGGACATCATTTCACACCAAATGATTTTTTATTTTGCGCAGGTCTAAAGTGATGCACGCAATGACCAGAAACCAGAGCTTTTTTGGCCTGACATAGACTTTAATAGAATATGGAAACTACAAACACTGCTAATTTTACTTGTCAAACTTTGGCCATTGTTGTGTGCACTAGAGTTACCTGCCATGAGCATACATGTACGTGTACATGAAAATTGAAAACTTCATTGGTTGTTTGTTAATTAATTAGCAGATAGTTAACATTCCATTGTGTAATAAGTTTCTGTGGGGATTAGACTATCAAATTTCCATTGCATTCAAGACTGGTTATTTGACAGTGTTAAATGGACTCACCTGCTCCTGCTCTACTCATTTAATGTCCAATAATAAGTACACTTAAGCATGTGTACATGTTCATAGATAAGACTACAATGAACAGAATTTTAAGAGTGAGCTTAATGGACCAAAATGTCAGGGTAATCAGTACCAGCATGGATAAAGTCAGAGCTTTAGATGGGTTGGCTGTATCAGATTTTGGATAAGAAACATCTTGCCAGGAAAGAGAAT